CTTTCCGGGGAAGAATAAGCTGTTCTGTCCTGGGAGCTCCTCCTGTGTGACACTTGGGCTGTATTAGCACTTACCTCACTGCACTGCCATGACTTATTTAGATGCCAACTCCCCCGTGCAGGGAATGGTGTCTGATTCGGCTGTGCAACCAGCCCCCGTCCACGCCCTGCACATCCCAGGCCCCTAATAACCGTTTTGGAATGGCTCCAGCCCCCTCATTTTACTGATGAAGAAACTGGATGCTGAGCGGTAGGAGGAAGCCTGCAGAGCTGGGAGCCAACCCACAATTAAAACCCTCACTTCCTACTCCCGGCGCTCAGGGAATCAGAATCCCACCCTCTGCAGCCCTGAGTAATTCGGAATAAAGGAACACCAGCATGTTTGCTGAGCACCTATTAGCACCAAGGGCATATAAGAGAGCCCAGCAGAGGGGCTTCCTCCACGGCCACACACACACACACACACACACACACACACACACACACACACACAAAACGAGACGATGAAGTGTGAGAGAGGACATCACGCGTGCCAGATTGCGGGCGAAGCCCCATGGCGTTGTGGCCCTGAGTACCTTTGGGCCCCAGCATTTTGTGCAAACAGATACGGACCAAGAAACACGTTCCCATGCAGGAGGGAAAGGGAGCTCGCCCCTAGGACAAAATGGGCAGTGAGGGCCTCTGCCACACATCAGACCCTTTCTATCCTAAGTGGAGGAGGGGGAACCCAAGGAGAAAAAGAAGAGCTCTGTGCCCTCCGAGGGGGCGCCCCTGGTCCAGAAGAGATCATGGAAAGCAGAGTCAGGCTCAGTTTCCTTGAGTGAGGCTGGGAGCCATTTGCTTGTCTCCTAGGCCAGCCTGATGATCAAATGTATGAGAAGGGAAAGAGCCAGAGGAGCCCAAGAACTGCACTCCGTATGGCAACAGCAGCTGTGAACAGGGGTCCAGAGAAGGCTGGGGTGGGCCGCAGGCTGGGGCGGGATCCAGGTCCCCAGGACAGGGGGCAGAGGGCTTGAGCTCGGCTGACCACGGCAGGCCCCCAGAACAGCGAGAGGAGCTGTGTGACCGGAGGAAGACAGTCCTGAGCAAGAGTGTTTGGACGCCAGCAAAAAACAAAACAAAACAAAACAAACCAGTACTCAGCTCTCCTAGCTTACCCCAGGTGCCACACCAACAGGCACTCCAGGGCAGGCGGGCAGCGGCTTTGTAACCTTGCCACCTGCTGGCTCCCTCTGGCCACCCCACCTCAGAAACCTAAGGTCCCATACACTTCAACTTGTACCAGGAGATCTTCCAGCCACGCCCCTAATTACTTAGGTGATGAGGGGGGAGGGGTCAGACGGAGATTTCCCATCTCCTTCAGCCTGGCGTTCAGGGCCACTGGTGTGGCTTTCTGTATCTTTGGGTAAAAAGTTCACACAGCCTTTCCCACTTCACCTCACCCGTGAACCCTACCTCTGGGGTCGCTAGTTATGCATTCTGTTTATTATTACGCCCATCACTGTGCAAAGAGCTGGCAATTCAGAAGAGGACTGTGGGCAAAAAGTGTTCAGCTGATATGGTTATACAACCCGAAATGGGGTACTTTGTACTTTGGTATCGCCAGGTCTGTAGCCTGAGCCTCTGGACGCGATAATGCAGCAAGAAGCAATAATAATTAAGGCCACACAGGGTGCTATCAGTCAGTAAACAAATACACTTCACCCCTTGATTCTTGCTGAACAGAGACTTGGGGTCGGTATGAACCCAATAGCAGCCCCAACGCTAACGTGGGACTGGATGACTGGGGACCTCAGCTCAAACTCAACACCGAACAGGTGCTCTGGGGGGCTTCTTTCCAAGCTGGCTTTGTGACTGGTTGGTGGCCGGCACCGGAGCAGGCCTCGGTAGGGACAAGATAGGAACCAATGAGCTGGTCAGCCAGCATCGCCTCCCTGGCCACCCCGAGTCACCCTTGACACCCTGGAAGCAGGGGGTTAGAGGTGGTGGGTGACCCCTTGAAGGCTTAGGCCAGGCCCGGGATTCGGTAATCTTTGCTCTGCCATAATTAGGGAGGAAGGCAGAGGCGTAGGAGGCCGAAGCCATTTATTACTTCTCTGGGATTTGACAGCTTGGGAGCAGAACCAGGAGGAGACAGAGAAACAGGAAAGGAGCCAGCCACGGGGAGCTTAACCTCTCGGTAACATAAATCGTCAGCTGCCCTCTGTCAATACCCAGGGCCTATCCGGCAGGCCCTGAGGTTCCCAAGTAATAGGCAATCCGCTCCCCCCACCCCGCCCCTGAAGAAACAACAAAGAAGGGCTTTAAAAAAAATACACGGTGGTGGTGGTGGTGGTGGCGGTGAAGATGGGGTACGTGTGAGTGAGCAGGCGGAGGACCCCCCGCTTTCCAAGGTGCCGGCTCTGGAGATCACCTATTACATAAAGGTACAGCCAGTCCCCACCCCCACCCTGGAGCTTAAAGATGAAGAATCCAGCCTGTTTGTTCCAGGCAGATGTAATCACACGAACAGTCAAGTCTAGAGGGCAGGACACTGCATGAATAATTCAAGCGCTACAGTCACTTGATGGTGTGTGCAGATAAAACACCAGTCAACCGCTAAACAGGTCAGCTGATAAACTTGTTTGCTCAGGCCTAACCACCATCCGCCAAATGCACCCGAGCCCCACACTACAATTAGTGGCTGGGTTTTCTTCTGCAGAACCCTGGCAGGCCTAGGGAGTGGCCGGCCCCATTAGGTCAAGGTTGCAGGTTTCTTCACCTCCTTGCCTCTTTGTTCCTCCACAGCCTCGGGGCGATTTCACCCCGGCTCCAGGGATTGCCAGAAACCCAGAGAAGAAGGCACCGCTGGGAAAGCAAAGGTGAACTGGCTGTAAGGCAGAGGTGAGTGGCAAGCAGGGTAAAGGCACCCGGACTGGAGAATCCAGAGACCCGGACTGGAGGCCCAGCTCTGCCCTCCCGGGCCTCCCCGAAGCCTCAGTTTCCTCACCTACACAGAGGGCGCACAGAAACTCCATCTGCCCACCTCTAGGAGCTGCGAAGATTAAATGGGACCATGTTGCCAAACCTCAGGCATTCTCCCCCTAAGAACCCTATCTGGGGAGCAGCCAGGAGTCCCAGATGCACGCTGCTGCTCTTCACCATGCGTTAAAGCAGTTAACTCTTCCAGGGTTCAGAGTCTCCCCAGGACTCCGGGATCACCTTTGCTCCACCAGGCAAGGTGGATCCGTGCCAAAGAACCAGCCACTCGCAGACACGGGGAAAACACCACCCATGCAGACCTCAACATGCAACGACATATTACACCTTAATTATGAAGCTCTTAGAATAACTGCTGCTATAAATTTTAAACCTGGGTGCAATTACCCTCTTTAAACACACCCAAGATACTAAGCACCGAGGGAAAAAAAGAGAGGGGGGGGTGGAGAAAGGGAGGAGGTGGCACCTTGCGTAACACCTCAAGGTCCTTGAACGCCCGAGACCCCAGGTCCACTACATGCGTTCTGACCAGGCGCCATCAGACCCTGTCAGTCCCAGCTATAGCTGGGCGGAACCTGACTCTAGTCCCTTCTCCCGGAGGAGAAACCTCTCTGTACACAAAGCCGCGTCTGCTTATGATTTGTGCGGGCAAAGGAGTGAAAACCTGGTGCCTTCCTGTGCCTTCCACAGGAGCTAATCCCTCAGGAAGCCGGCTTCCAGAGTCGCTCAACAAACTCGGGCCCCTTCCTGGCTGCCCTTCACCAGACACTGGGGCTCCCCTCCAGGACAGAAAGGAAATCACAGTATCAAAAGGACCTGTATGAAGCCACTGGAGCAGGCGGCAATCACCTGCCCTTCTCATCTGCCCCGGACCCTGACCCCTGAAAGAGCAAAACTTAAACCCTGTAAACGGCTGTTAATTTAGGGCAGAGAACCCATTCAAAGTCACGGCCACCAAAGGCTAGAATGAGTCAACAGCCTTCTGAGATTTCCAGAGCACCAATTGTTAAAAAGGAACAACCGGCCAGCACCATTTATTCGTGCCAAGTCCCTTCTAATCGCTGGCCAAGCCAAATTACAGGTAGCCCCTCCTTGTAACACAACTATACAAACTGCCTCTCCCACAGCCCGGCCGAGCACCAGGGACTAGTTACTGATATGCACCCGAGATAAAGGCTGTTTGCATTTGCTCGGGTTGAGGTATACTGTTATTAGGAGAGTGACAATGCGAGGTAGTTTACATATCCCTCCGAGGACACACCAGCTCAACTGGTTTGACTTCAGGATTTCAAAGCTGAGCTCAACCACCAGCCACCTCCAAAGTCCTGGTGAGGCTGGCCCTGGGCAAGTTACTTCACCTCCCTGCTCCTGCTTCCTTCTCTGTAAAATGGGAGCCTGGCTGCGTTCAGATGAAGACGGAGAGGAGAAAGCTGCCTCATAAACCTAAGACATGAGGGTTATGGTTCATTCTGGCTTCACATTTTTAAGCAGTTAGTGGCTTGTTCCCTTAAATTTCGACAGCTCAGCATGGCCTTAAAGACTCTTGAAGTTTAATCTTATCGAGGCAGAACATCAAATTGTTACGCGCAGACACACACACACACACACACACACACACAGAAGCACACACACAGCCCTCCTGCATTTCCTCTTGAGAATCTTACATTAAAGCACTTAAAAAGCAGCCAGCTAGCCCTCTCTGGGTTTCAGGAGTTTGTAAAGCAGATCCTGAAGGTACAATTTTTCCTTCGCTCCTTCATCTTCCACCAAGGTCCAAGACCGGGACTAATTTCACGAGCTCGGTTGCCCAAAGCTCCCACGTGCCCAAGAAATCAGCAACGCCAGTGACCTTGCATTTCAGAGACGGGCTCCATGCGCCCTTCGAGGAGAAGAAGGAGGAGGAGGAGGAGGAGGGGGGGGGGGACCGGAAGACTAGGCTCGTTTTCAAACGGGAGGGGCCGCAAGAAACCTACGTATCATGTTTTTAACCACTAGGTATATTTGGAAAAGAAAAGCACTTACCTGCTTGTGCATCTCGATGTTCAAGCCATAGGACATCTCGTAGTACTAAAAGCAAAAAGATTGCCATTAACAGGCGAACAAAGTTCACCTTCCGAAATCAGCTCCTGGGCCAGGTTTCCGGCCAAGCCGTACTTTTCTGATGCGTCTGCTAACGGAGTTCAAATCACACCCCAAAGCCTGCTATGGGGGGTGGGGGGGTTGAAGAGCTGACTGGGGGTGGGGGGGGGGGAGGCAAATGGGGTTGTTGGTCTCAACAGAACGTTGTATGCGCAGTAGTAAGAGGAGCCGAGCCCTCCCTCCCTCCAGCACCGCGTATGCCATATATCCTGTTTATACAAGGTTCGGGTTCAACAGGGAATCCTGTGTACACTGGGACCCTCTTGTCCTCTGAGAGTTATTTAGCAATGTGTCAAAGGCCTCTTATGTGGAAAGCAGTGCAGGGAGGGCGCTTAAGTGCCTCCCATGTCCTCTCAACAGGCAGAAAATGGAAACTCACCGGCACCAACGCGGGGAAAGGGAAGAGAGTCTACCTACAGGGCCGAGGCTGACCTACCCGGATTCTCAGCTGGGGGTAGCCCTGAGGAGGGAGGGGAGTGGAGGCGGAGGGCTTTAAAAGGCTCCGCCAGGCTCACAAAACCCTGGGGACTGAAGGGGGAGGGCAGGGGATAGGCGGAGAGGGCTCCTGTCCCATTCTGGCTAGATCCCAGGGCTGCAAAGCAGCAAAGTTTCCAAACACTCCCGGGAGGTCCCTAACAGAGATTTTATCCAACCCTGACTGGGGGGGTGGGGGGGGATCCTCCAATCCCATCCTACCAGCCAGGACAGGGCCGCCAGCAGCCCCCTGGGAAACCATCAAAACACAAACTAGAGGGTGCCCCCGAAGGTAAGCACAGAAGCGCCCCGCCGGGATTCGGGTTTCCCTTTCTAGCCCCTCCTCTCACCCACCCTCCTCCAAGTGGCCCGGGCTTAAGTGGGGGAGGGGGGTGCTGGTGGCGGGTCGGGGGCACACTCGGGGAACGCCGGCTCGCTGCGCTGGCCGCGGCGGGCCGGGACTCGGCTGCAGGGGCCCCAGACCCCCGCCCCGCCCCCGCCCCGGCCAGCGGCCGCGTCTCACCATCACGTAATGGCGCTGCATCTCCGTCTTCTCGTTCGCCAGCTTGTCGTACTCCACTTTGAGGCTACGAGGGCAGGAGGAGCCGGCTCAGGCCCGGAGCCCGCACTGCCTCCTCCGAGGCCCCAGCGTCAGGGCCTCTGAGAACCGCTTTTCCACTTCCTGACCACCGCCCCCCACCCCCACCCCCCGCCGGGGGACCCCTGTCATCCCGCAGCCCCGGGGTGGAGGGGGTTCGGGTCCTCGCCGCGGGAAAGGGAGAGACACAACTTGAAACTTCCGCGGCCGAGCGCGTGGACTGCTCAGGGCCGCGGGGGTCCGGGGGAGGGGAGATGGGGGGACCCGGCTCGCGACCCCCGGAGCCCGGAGCGAGCCCGCCTTGCCCCCCGACCCTCACCCGGCCGGCCCCGCCGGTGACACGGGGTGCCGGGAGGCTGCGGGCAGCCAAGGGTTAAGGAGCCGCGCTCGGAAAGGGGAAACAAAAGGCGGAGGCCCCGGCGGCCCCGCCGCCCCGGGTCGGGAGCCCCCTTCGTCCCCGCGGGGGGGGGGGGTAGGTGGGGGGGTGGCCAGGAGCAGCGGCGGGGACGCCCCTTCCCGCCGGCCCCGGGGCGGCCCCCACCGGCCTTACCTGTGATATTGAGCTTGCAGGAACTGGAATTCGTCTTTGATCCTGTCACAAGACTCAGCCACCGTGAATTTAAATCCCGGCTGCCCGGGTTGATGGGGAGCCTGGAGCCCGCGAGGACGAGACAGGGGAGGGGGCGGGGGCGTCAGACAGGGCTCCTGGCGGCCCTAGCCCCTCCGCGGCTTCCTCCGCCTCCCCCCGCCCAACCCGGGAGGCCACCCTCACAGCCCAGAACCTTCCCAGCAAGTTTCTCAGCTGCCCGACGGGGTGGGGTGGGGGGGCGCCCCAATCCCTCCCCATTGGCGGCGGGACTCAAGCCTTGCACGAAGGGGCTCCCATTCCCAAGTAAGACCGGCACTAGAAGATAGCCGGGTGAGTTGGGAGATCTGGACGAGGAGGCGGGGGGGGGGGAGAAACGTGAAAACAAACAGTTGCACTGGAACACAGGCAGCCCCCCACGCCACTCGGGCGGAATTAACCTCCTCTCTCAACGGCGCCCCCCCATCCCCGTCCCCTTTGTGTGAGCGCGCGCGCGCACACACACACGCACACACACACACACGCACACACACACCATAAAGGTAGCAACAAGCAAAATGGAGGTGCCAGATAAACTGCCTCGTTTACCCTGCCATGATAGATGCTTAAATAAACCGAGTTGCAATTACTCACCGGATGTCTGCCTTGCGGATACATGGCAGGGAGGGGTCGTGATTCCGAGAGCTTGGAAGCGCCGAGAGCTCCGGCCGGGGAGGTGCGGGAGAGGGGGGAGCCAAGCCCGAGCGGGGGGCGGCCGGGAAACCGAGAGCTCGCCCCCGGCCCCCCCAGCCCGCTCTCGCAGCGAAATCCCAGAGTCGGGCGCCCGCCCCAAGTGGAGACAAAGAGCTGCGGAGCAGGCGGCAAAGTCGTCGGCGGGCGCCGAGGCCGGGCGGCGGACGCGGGCTTTGTGCGCCTAGGGCTCGGCGGTCTGCGGCCGGCCGCCTTCCGCCCGCTGCGTGGAGCGCGTCAGGGCCGGGGACAGCGCGGACATCGTCGTCTCCCCGGTGGCGCCGGCGCGGGGTCCCGAGGCCGGGGTCTCCTCCTGGGGCGACTGCGGGCCCCCTCCGGATCACTCGGCGAGTCGCGCCGCGAGGGGGGCGCGCCGAGGCAGCCCCAGCATCCGGGGCGCGCGGGTCCGATCCCAGAGGCGGCGCTCGGGGAGAAGAGGAAGGAGGCTAACACCGAGGTGGCGGCTGGGGGCCGCAGGAGCGCCGGAGGGTGAGGGCGGGAGCCCGGCGCGGGCGCTTAGACGCCCCCCCTCGGAGAGGAGAGCCTGCTGTTCCGTCTGCTACTGCCGCCACCGCCGCCGCCGCCGCTGCAAGCCCTTCCCAGGGCCAAGGAGGAAACTCCAGGCTCAGTAGGTGCAAATCAGCCGCCCTGGCATCCTAACTCCAGCGGGCCCAGGAAGCCTCCGCAAAGGGATCCTCGCTGCTCCCAGCTCGAGCGCCGCGTCCCCAGCGAGGAGCGCTCGGCTCCTCCACCACCGCCTCGGAGCGCACAGGCAGGAGAGCGCAGCCCGAGACCGGAGAGGTCTGCGGCTTCCTTCCTTCCCCTCGGCCTGGCTCTTCTCTCCGCGCCCCGACAAACCCCCCAAACACACACACACGCACACACACACGCACACGCACACACACCCAAAAAAGTGCCCGGGACCTGCGGATACCACACACAGACTGGCGAGGGGGACGAGCACGAGGTCTGAACTGCCGCGAGAGCAGTTCCAAATAGGGACTGAAAAGTAACAAAATAATGTGGCAGCTTCGCCCCGTGCTGGCCAATGGGAGTGCGGGGCCCCCACGTGGGGCTGCCGGACTCGGCCTGCGACTGGGCGCCGCCGGGCGCGACGTCACAATGCCCTCTTGTGTCTAAAACTATGCATGAAAAGTAGCAATCAGGCCCTACCCGCTGGTGACTTTCGCATGGGAGTGAAAAACAGCGCTCCTCAGATCAGGAATTAACCGAAAGACATATAATAAATAGATATATATTATAGTGCTGGGCTGCTGGACTTTTTTTTTTCCCGCCTCTCTCTCTCTCTTTTTTTTTTTCCCACGATCTACTAGCAAATAATTATTTGGCGGGAGGGGGAAACAGGGAACCAGAGGAATAACAACAAAAGAAAAAAAAAAAAGACAAGCTGTACGGTCCTCGAAACCTGTGGCTGGTAGTAATGTATCAGTTTATTCTGCAGCGACGGCGAACGATTCCTCCCTCGAATCTCATTAGGTCTGCAAAGCAGCCCAATTAGATACTATAAAACAAACAGAATCACTTTGTCACTTTAATGTTTTCACTTCGCAAGATGTAGGACTGATAAAATGGTGGGTCTCAAAGTTGCCTCCCACCTTAAAAATATTTGCTGGGAACCAAGGGTGTCCCTCTCTTTACCCCTTCTCCTGCCCCCACCCCCTCCACCGGCCCCCAGCTTTTTTTTTTTTTTCTTTGTTCATTCGTTCTTTTCAGAAAGCCAAATAAACAGCGTCTTTGATGTGCGGCGGCTGCCGGCTAGAAGTCTGAGGAACTCTGGCTTGGCGGGCGGCGCAGATGGAAGGGCCGGCTGCCGGCCGACAAACGGCCCAGATCGCGATGTCCCCACTCGGGGCTCCTTCCCGAAGCTCCTCACCGCGAGCTGGGGCCAGGGGAGCGGAGGAGGGGATGGGGAGGCGGCCTTGCCCTGCCCGCGTCCGGGGAGCTCCCCACTGCGACCCGAGCTACCCGGCCAGCTCGAGGCAGTGTCGCGGCGTCGGCGGAAGCCTGCGGAGGGGCGCGCGTGCGGGCCCGTGGGTGTCTCGGCCGCCAGCCTCGACGCCCCGGGGGGCGCAGCCGCTCGCCTGCCCCCGCGCGCTCCTCGCACACCCCTCTCCCCCACCCCCCACCCCCCGCCGCGCCTCCGGGAGTCCCCGCGCGGTCGCACAGGCCACTCGACTCCGGGGGCCAGTTCACCCGCAAACGGACAGCCTCGATCTGCTGCTCGGGGTTACGTCAGGGCAGACGCGCAGTGGGGGGAGCGGCCGCGCCCCGCGGACCGCCGCGGGCCTCGCTGGGTGGACGGGCCCCAAGGGCGCCCGTGGGTCCCTCCCCTCCGTCTCCGCGAAAGCGCACGCACCCCGGGGCCGGAGGCGGGCGCGCGCGAGCCGGCCGCGCGCCCCCGGATCTATATTTTCCCCTCATTAGGAACTGGAGTTCGCTCTTGCATCTTAATGAGGAGCTGAGAGCGAGCGGGCGCTCGGAGGCCGGTGCGCAGGGAGTTACACGTGAGCGCCCGCCTCGGAGTTGAACCTCCCGGCGCCCGCTCCGGCCGCCAGCCCTGAACCGCGCTCCTCTCTTCATTTATTTATTTTCCTAAATAAAAACATAAATCGTGTGCGGCGCGCACCGAAAGGGGGGGGGGGGTGTAGAGTGAAGCCCGGCTCGACAGATGCGAGCATCTGGCCGCAGCATTCATTAGACACAAAATGGCTCCTCTTTGGAGCTTCCTTTTCCCCTCCCCCTTCTCTGCCCTCCCCCTTACGTCACGGGTGGGCGCACCCGCTTCCAACCCGCCCCGCCCCTTTCTCGCTCCTGCCCCCACGTGGGCGCCGTCGGCCCCGCCCCCTAGCAAGGCCCCGAAAGCCAATCAGAGGCCGCTGTGGGGGTTCTCCGCTGCTGATTGGTGAAGACTTCGGGAGCTGTCAGTCGGCGGCCAGAGCTGTCAGTCAAAACCACGAGGGGTGGGGGAGCGCTGACAAATGCCGAGGCTTCTGAGCCTCCCGCTTGCAAATAGTGCTTGGAATGGCTGCTTAATTAGCTTTGAATGGCTTTTCCTTCCAGCTCAAACAATCTGTCACTACCATGTGGTATAAAGGAGCCATGCATAAAAAAGTAAGCAGAGGCTAAATATCAATTTGATTTTGTGTATCAAAGGAATATTTTATTTTTCTCCCTAGTAATGAAACGTATCAATTTAAATAATAAAAGGTAAAAAACACACACACAAACCGAAAAAGAAAAAAAAAGAAAGAAAGAAAAGGAAAAAAGGGGAAAAAAAAAACCCACCCCAGACTCCACGGTTCTCTGACTCCTGCGCACGCCTGAAACAGGTAATTTCTCCGGCCCACGTTTAGAAGGAAACCTGAAGATTTTCTCCACCCTCACCCCGCCCCAAACTTGCGTCTTGTTTTGTTGTTGTCGTCCAGAAGTCTGGAAGGAGTGATGGGGGAGGGGTGGCCTGTAAAAGGGAAGGTGGGGCGGGGGGGGGCAACTTTAAAGGAACTCTTTGAAGCTACTAATCAAAGTGAAGGGGGTTTTAAGACCCCGTAAACTGGGGATCCCACAGCAGGTCTCGATTTGGGGGCCGAGAGGAGGGGTGGGGGAGTAGCGGGTGTGCGTCTCGCCCGGATTTATTAAACACAATGTCTTCAAGATGCGCCTTGGCCGGCCTCCCTTTCCCGATCCCATTCCGCACTGCCCCAAAGGCGCCCGCCCGCAGTCGGCCTACTAGCCTTGGCCCCCCAGGTCAGGTCTATGCGGACTGCGGCCGAAGAGCACAGCAGCTCTGTCCCCGTCTTAGGCATCATCGCTCTTGCCCCGCCGTCCGCGATCCTGGGGGACCCCACGAGCCTGGACCCTCCCATAGGGCCGAGTGCCGTGGAGTTCACCTGTGAGCCCTAGCGGCCGTGCGGGGCCCGGCACACTGGGGAAGTGCGCGGCCGCATGGACGGACTGGGTTTTGCAAAGCGCCGCCTCCTCTGCAGGGCCCAGCTGGAGGGCCCGCCCCGCAGTCTAGAAGGATTCGGGCGCTGGAGCGCTTAGTTTGCACGAGGCTGAGCACTGCAATCCAAGCGAGAATTCTCTTCGTCCTCCCCTCACGCCCTAGGGAAGCGGCCTGGCCGGTAGCCCCATTTTATAGAGTTTAAAAAAAAAAAAAAAAGGCTTCTAAGGCTCAGTAATTTGCCCCAAACCGGACGGGCGGGGCAGGATTCGAATCCAGCGCAGCCAGCTCAACAGCCAACCTGAGCTCCTCCTTTTCTTGTGGGAGCAGGATCCGGGCAAGCATTTGCTGAAGGAAAGGCATTGATTCATTCCTATTCATTCACTCTTTCATTCATTACCAGCTCTTTCTGAGGGTCAGGCTGTAAGGTCACTGGCCCAGCTCCTCCGCCTCCGGCTCCTACGCGCTGCGCACCCAGCGTCACGCCCAGCAACCCCGAGCCCCGAACTGCGAGAGGTGCGGGAAGTAAGTAACCAGGCCAGCACCCCTTTAGGCATACCACAGCTCTACCCCCACCCGCGTGACACCTCACAAATTATAAAAAACAAGGAGAAAAATACATTTATTTGATGCTCGAGAAGGAAAAAAGAAAATAAAAAACATGTATACAACACCATGTCCAAAGCTCTTGACAATTATTTTTAAAGAAGGAGGGGAGTGGAGAGAAAGAGTTCAAACGTCTCTGTCTCCAGTTCCTAATTGGAAACGTTTCAACTGTTTATGTTACAAGAAGTGTCAGGGTCATTTGCTACCGGAGAGCTGACTTTTCATTGGCTGCTTAATTGAGTACCTCGGAGTCCACCCCACGTGGGAGAGGAATTCCTGGCACATTAAAAAAAAAAAAAAAAAAAAGTCACCCGGGTAAGACAGAAAGCCCGGGGTGGATTTGCAGCATCGAGTCTCCCCAACCCCTCATTTGGGGTGCAGGGTGGGGGGTGGGGGCAGCTGTTTGCCAGCTCCAGGAGCTGCGGCTCTGGCTCCTTCCAAACGTCTGTCAAACATTTCAGATCGAGTTTTAATATATGTTTTCTCCCTGTCTCAGAAATTGAAGGGTCTGGCTCAGGTCAGCCACCAGGCTGCATCCTCATGTTTGAGGAACCGATCCCAGTGCCTTGGGTGGAGTTTTGAACCTCTCCCTGTCATCCCTTCCCCTACAGCCTCCAAGGGCTTTGATTTTTTTTTTTTTTTTTTGAGACCTTTTGTTGGGACAGCCCAAAGAGAAGAGAAATCTCCCTCACCCATCTCTTGGGTTGATTCTGTAAGGTCTCTTTGCTGACTGGCCTTTGGCTCCATTGCTGAGGCAATAGCCGCACTGCTCCAGTAGTCTCCCACCACTCGTCCCAGGCCTTCTTCCACAGCCAAGCACCTCGCCACAGAGCAAGAGGAAAGAGAATTTTTATTTATTTAACAAACTCTTACATAGTGCTCGCGCTGGGCCAGACGCCCTTCTCAGCACTTGGCAAATATTAACATACTTAATCCTTTCACAAGGAATGAAGTGGGTGCTATCAGCATCATTCCTATTTTACAGGGGGGCAATTGACACACTGCAGTGCAGTGACTTGCCCAAGGTCACTTCAGTGGCTGGCCAGAACCTGGGCAATTCACCACCACACCCTGGTGGCTTGCCTTTCCTGGGAATGCAGTTCACGCTTCAGGATGCACCCCAGGAAACTAGAGGGCCCCCCCCCGGAAGTCTCTATAGAGCTCATCTAGGAGCCACTTTATTTCAGGGTAAGGGGGAGGGGATTTCCTAGGGTCTCCCACCCCCCCCTTCCAGTTTTCCATTGGTCCTGGTTATGTGACCTTGGGGACTTATTTCATCTTGCTAAGCCTCCATTTCCTCATCTGTAAAGTGGAGATACCGATCCTGTCTCCCTCAGAGCACTGTTTTGAGGATCGATAGAGATAATGCATGCGATGTACTTAGTACGGAACCTGGCACATTAAGTGATCAATAACAGTTAGCCATGGTGG